TGTAGGTGACTGTGGATTTCCAAGATGCCATCTCCTGCTCCGTGGTAGCTGTCCACCGAGAGGCCCGGGGTCCCGAGGTCGCCTCAGCGTAAGTGCGAGGGGTCGGAATGTGAAAGGCGTCTGGGTCACCCTCAGGGACTAGCAGTATGGAACAGAGATGGGGAGCAGCCTCTGACAGGAAAGCAAGCTCGTACTGCCTATCCTTTAGGACGTCAATGCCAAGGGGAAGAGCACCCCCGACGGACGGAGAACGGATAGGGTTAGAGACCAGAGTGGTGGCATAGTCAAGGCGGCGGGTAGAGGCGAAGTCAGCGACAGCAGCAACAAGAGCATCAAGACTAGAGACAGGGACAGACGGGTTAGTAACAAGGGAGGCACGGACCCGAGGAACAAGAGAACGAGCGGCACGAAGGTAGTCAGACAGAGGAGGAGGCGCGACAACGAGCGACGACGGGGGAGGCGAAAGCAGGAGGGGAGGACGAGACGCGTGGGAACGAAGCAACATAGGGTGGAAACGTTGAATAGGAGAGACATGACATGAAGAGGAGGAGGGGGTGGGGGAGGCGCAAGCGAGCGGTCAGGGGAGGGAAGGCTGAGCAGGTGAAGGGCGGACACCGGCGGCGTTTGCTGCTGCTGCTTCTCTACTCCGAACCCTGGACCGCCTGCTGCACCACGACTCCACTCCAGCACCCCCAGAATGAGCACCCCTAGAGAGAGAATCCGCTCCAGCATCGGTGCCACCCCCAGGCCCGCCCGAACTTTAGGAATAGCACCCTCCTCAACGCCAGCACCCCCAGAGTCCACGGACGGGTGCTGCTGCAGCAGCGGCTGCAGCTGCTGCGGCTGCCGCGGCGACGATGGCTGCGGCTGCTGCGGCGGTGATGACTGTGGCGGCTGCTACGATGGCAAAGGAGGAGACACCGGGAGAGAGGCAGGCGGCAAGAATGGCGCTGTATGCCCACCAGAGTCAGCCGACTCTTCTATCGGGACAACCGACGGGAGGGGAGTAACGTAAGACACACCAGACATAACAGGGCGGGGAGGGAGGTGAGCAGGGGCTACTGGGGGAGTGGGAACCAGAAACAGGGGAGGGGAAACCGGGAGACATCGGTGGGGAAAGCGGTGGTAAAAGAAGACAGACTCGTCGAAAGTGGCGCTACGGGGAGTGAAAGAAGCGGTGAGACGGCGGGTGGTAAAAGCGTCAGTCAGACTAGTCAAGGGGGAAACCGAGGAAGACAGAGAGGAGAGTGCAGGCAGTGAGTTAGTCCGTGCCAGAGTTACAAACGTGAGCAAGGCAGCCCCAGACGTAGAACACAGACGCGTCACCAAGGAACCCGGTCTAAAGGAGGGTCGGCAAAACCTACTCTCCTAGGTCAGTGCAAGTGTGTCTCCTCAGCAGCTCAGCCTTTACGGAGGCCAGTGCGTCTTTGTCTGCAGTAGCAAAGACCAGGGCATCTACGTAGACAAGGATGTAGAACAGGGTCTGACCAGCACAAATGAAGAGTGAGGGGTCTGCAGAGGACGGAAAGAACTGCAAGTCAGCTAGCGTAGCACGCAGCGTATCGTGCCACTCACGGGGAGCCTGTCGCAGGCCGTAGACCGGGCACCGGAGGAGCCATTGGGTCCCAGGAGGGAAGGTACCGGTGAAGCCCTGTGGACGGCGCAGGTAGACCTGCTTGTGTAGGCTGCCTTGAAGAAAAGCAGTGGATAAGTCGAGGGAGTGAAGCTCGTAGTCACGCTGTGCTGCTACGTGTAGCAGCACCCAAAGTCTAGTCATCTTCGGGGTCGGGGCGAAGGTCTGAAAGAAGTCCACCCCCTTACGCTGACTGAAGCCTCTACCAATGTAGTATGCCTTGAACACAGGCGGCTCTCCAGGAGGGCGCTTCACTTTGAAGAGCCACCGGCCATTGACTACGTTCACCTCAGGTGGGGGAACTGCGTCGACGTAGGTGCCGGTGGATCTCCAAGATGCCATCTCCTGCTCCATGGCAGCTATCCACTGAGAGGCCTGATGGAAATCGTGCAAATCTGGAGAGAACTATTTAGAGATTAAGTTTGACGACTTCAACGGAACATTGCGTGCAGCTCAGGTAACTTCTACAAATGAGCTTATACGCGTTGGAAAGGTCTTAATCTCTCATTTCCAGAATGGTAAAGCACAATCATAACCAAGATCTGAGCCGCCGATTATGACGGAATCAGTGTGAGGGAACATTCTGGTAATTTGGCTAGGCAGCCATGAATCACCTAGTAAAAACGAGAAGGGAAGCAGTTAGATCTGGAAAAGTTCGAGTATGTGATTGTCAAAGACCACCAACCCTCGCCCTAGACCAAACGTCAAGAATCCCAAGTGCCACATCTGCAACATCAAAGATGTTGTAGTGGGTTTGAGGTTGTATGGGTTGGAAAGGTAAGGAGATCAAACCGTGCCAACCAACCCAAGTTCTTTTGCCCAAATCCTAATAGCCCACAACCAGCTAGAGCAAACTACACCACAGAACACTACACATTTATCACTCCCCCTTGCTTGTGCTGGGTGTGGCTCAACACCATTGGGCAAAACACTTCACACAACTCCCCCTTGCCCATGGGTTGGGGCCACCCAGAGCATGGAGTCCGCCAAGGAGAGGAGCACCAAGATGCCGGCATCTGCTTCGGGAACCCTGTCATCATGGGGCTGCATCCCGAGCAAGGTCATGCACACACCATGGCGCTCAAATGGAAGAGACTTGGTAAGAATATCAGCAGCCTGACGGTTGGTGGGGCACCACTGCAAAATCACCTCTCCCGCAGCCACCATCTCCCGAATGAAATGCCACCGGACCTGCATGTGTTTGGTGCGGCCATGCAAGCATGCATTCTGTGCAAGGGCAATGGCAGACTGATTGTCCACAAACACAGGCACACCTCCCGCATGATCATGGCCAAACTCCCCAAACAAACGCCTCAGCCACACACCCTCCTGAATGCACTGACACAGACTTATGTACTCACTCTCAGTGGTAGAGAGTGCTACCACGGGCTGCCTCTTGCTCTGCCAAGAGATAGCTGCCCCATTCAGACAGAACACATACCCACTGTGGTTCCTGCGACTTGCGGAATATCCAGCATAGTCAGCATCACTGAAGCCAACTAGCTGGACCTGAGACTGGGGTTGTGTTTGGAAGAAGATACCTGACTTGACACCACCTTTCAGGTACCTCAGCACTCTCTTAGCGGCCTGCAAGTGGAACATTTTAGGACAAGAGGCGACCTTAGATAGCTGTGAGACTGCAAAGGCAATCTGTGGCTGTGTGGTAGTACAAGCATACATGAGGGATCCCACAATGCTTTGGTAGAGCTTGACTAGCTCATCTCGCAGCAAGGGTTCATCCTCATAGGCATGCACATCAAAGCCTGTTGGGAGAGGAGTACGCACAGGGTTGGCCTCTGAGAGACCAAAGGACTGAAGCATGTTAAGAATGTACCTCTCTTGATGAATCAAGATACCACTCTCATCACGCTCAATTTGCATACCCAAGTAGTACTTCACCTCCCCCAAGTCCTTCATGCGAAAACGCGATGACAAGAAGTCTTTCACTCGATCTAGCAAAGCCTTGCTAGAGCATAGGAGCAAAAGGTCATCTACATAGAGGAATAAGGAGATCCTCTCCTCATCTCTCACAAAGTGGTACAAGGCAGGGTCACACTCAGATCTCTCAAACCCAAAATCCATGAGAGCCTCATCAAATTTCAGGTACCACTGTCGTGGGGCTTGCTTTAGCCCATAAATGGACTTTTTGAGGCAACACACGCGGTTAGACCCATCATCAAAACCAGGGGGCTGCCGCATGTAAAGCTCTTCCTCCAAATCCCCATGGAGGAAGGCTGTCTTGACGTCCATATGATGGATATCAAGCCCCAAAGCAGCCGAAATTCCAAGCATACCTCTCAAGGTCGCATGCTTCCCAACTGGAGAGTACACTTCTTCATAGTGTACTCCCAGTTTCTGCATGTTTCCCATCACCACCAATCTGGACTTAGGCCTCTCAACGGTACCATCAGGGCTATGTTTGTATTTCCAAACCCATTGACACCTGAGGACCTCCAAACCAGGTGGTACCACTACTGGATCAACCAGCTCAAATGATCCATTTACCTTGTGAGACTCAAGCTCCTCATGCATGGACTCAACCCATTCGGGACGGTTCAGCGCCTCGTGGACTGACCTAGGCTCATGCACCTGACCCATTAGACACACATCAGGAGCATACTCATGTCCATGCATGTCCACAAGCATGCAATCATCCAAATCAGACACAAGATGATCGTGCATGCGTGCAATGTGCCCCGGTGAAAACCTTTCAGGTGGCTGGAAAATTCGAGCACTGCGTCGCAGAGGTGTTGCCTCTCCTTCTTCCAGCCTCCGCAGCTTCTCCTCCCAAGTCACCCTCTTCATTGGAGTCCTTGGAGTCTTGGACAGCTGCTGGTTCAACAACTGCTGCCAACTGCTTCTCGATGGAGTTGAAGGCACATGCTGCTCCGGCTGATCATCACGCGCATCGGCCTGCGTGGCTGGCTGAGGGGTAGAATCTGTCTCTCGGGACTCCTCATGGTTAGGATCAGCTGGTTCTGGCTCCTCCTGCTGCTCCTCCCCTTCATCTCCAGGGTCCTCCCATGCCCCCTCAAAGATAGAGGCCGTATGAGGGTCTTGAATGGAAGTCCCACTTTGGCTTGTACCATGCGCCTTCCACCCCTTAAAATGCAGCCCCTCATGGAAAACCACATCACGGCTCTCCAACACATGCTGGTCAGCTACACTCCACAGCACCCAAGCCTTGCTCCTCTCAGAAACCCCAAGGAGAATCCCCCACTGTGCCTTAGGATCTAGCTTCCTCCTTTGCTGGTCAGGTACCTTATACTGTGCCATGCACCCCCACACTCGTGCCATGGAAACATTTGGCACCTTCCTTGTCCATAAGGAGTATGGGCTCTTGCCTCCAAGCCCCTTGCTGCCCATCCTGTTCTTCACCCAGTTGGCATACTGCACTGCTGCCCCCCACCAAGTGTTATCAAGCTCGGCATGGGCAAGGATGGCCCGAGCCAAATCGGTCAAGGTCCTGTTAAGCCGCTCCGCTGCCCCATTTTGCTGCGGCATGTAAGGTACAGAGAGCTGGTGGGAAATACCCTTTTCTTCCAAGAAGATTTGAAGTTCTTTCCCAAGGTACCCTCCACCCCGATCTGACCTTAACACCTTCACCTTGGCCCCTGACTCCCTCTCCACATAGCGTATCCACCGCTTAAACACCTTTGCCACCTCATCCTTGGTCTTCACCAAGATGACCCAGCTAAGTCGACTGAAGTCATCAAGAAAGGTGACAAAGTATCTGCTGCCCTTTTCCCGGTCAGGAGTTTGCATCGGTCCACACACATCCGTGTGCACCAGCTCAAGGGGAGTCAAGGCATGATCAGAGGAGATAGGGAATGAGGTTCTAGGCAGCTTTCCCAATGTGCAATCAGGACATTTTCTCTGCTGCCCAGCTCCTTCCTTGACCTCCACCCCCTTCAGCTCCCCCTTCTTCACACACTCCAGCAGTTGCTGCTTCCCCGCGTGCCCCATGCAAAGGTGTAGCAACTCAGGTGACACCGTTTCCACTTGTCTCCAGTGAGTGCTACAAGTGGCTTCCTCAGAAAAAACCATATGTGCCTTGTAACAATTAGGCACACAAGCTGGAACAAGGTATAAACCCTTGTCCAGCTTTGCCTCCATCTCCACAGCTTCACCCTTTCTAACAGTGCACCCTCCCTCAGTGAAAGTGCAGATGTATCCCTGTTTAGCCAGCTGCGAGCATGAAAGGAGGTTTGCAGCCAAACCAGGGACGTGAAGGACCCCCTTCACACCCACTAGCTCCCCCTCCTTCCCCTTAATGGCGATCGTGCCGATGCCAATTGCCTGCAGCAAATCTCCGCTCCCAACAATCACGCTCCTAGAGTTTGGTGGGAGAGGATGGTAGGAGGTGAAGAGATCACGGCGAGGAAGCATCCCATATGTTGCTCCAGAGTCTAGAACAAGGAAGTTGGGATCAGCCAATGCACGACCAGCGAGAGCTGCATCCTGCCCTAGCATGAGAAATGAGAAACCATCATCGGAGGAGTCGTCTTGGCCCTTCCCCTTCTCATCCTTAGCAGCTGCGGCCGTTGCTCCCTTGCTGCCCTTCTTATTCCAGAGCCCCTTCTTCATCCTTTTCTCCACCCAATCAGGTTTGGTCACTGGTGGGGCCTCTCCAGAGTAGCCATGAGGCTTCCATCCCTCAGGCCTACTCCAGCAACTCTTCCAAGAGTGTTTTTTGTTGCATCCGGGCACAAGGCATTTGTCCAACTCTTTCTTCTTCCCCCCACCTCCTTGCTGTTGATAGCATTTCCTGAAGGAAGCTTTATCTGCTGCACCCATGCCTCCTTCTAGGCCTCTTCCAGCATCAACCTTGCGAGCCTCATCAGAAATTAGAACCTCCCAAATCCACACCTTGGTCCATTTCTGTTGCTCGAGGTGAAGGTACTGCAGTAATGCCTCATTAGCCGCTTGATCCAACCCTTGGAGCGCAGTATAGATGATCTCCTTCTCATCTACCGTGTAATCCAGCTCCTCCAAAGCCCTCACATTCACATCCACCCTCTGGAGATACTGAACCATGGTCTCCCCCTCCCCATAGTTCCGCTCCATGGTGTAAAACCGCTTCCGCCAAGTAAGCACGCTTAGAAGCCCTTTCTGCAAGTGCCTATCTTGTACTCTTTTCCAAGCTGCAGCCGCTGCACCTTCCTTCCCCTTCAGGTCAATCAGCATCTTAAGAAGCTCAAGTTGCCCCTCCAAAGCCCAACACAGGTACTGAAATGCCTGGCGATCCTTCCGATCCCATGCTTCTTGAGCTTTGAGCAACTCCTCGCTACTTGGTTGCGACCTTCCGGTTCGAGTTGCAGCGGTTCCTCCTTCATTCCCCCCACTCAACGACGCTCCCCCAGCCCCGGATCCCACTTGGCTGGTTGCTCCAGTAGACGCCTCCCTAGAGTCAGCTCGTGGTCGCTTCTCCGATCCATCCAACACACTTTCTAGGTCCTTAATACCTAGCCATAGTGTGAACTGGAACCTCCATAGCGAAAAGTCCGAGCCGGTAAACCTAGGAGGGCCATCCAACTTTTGGGCCATGTCAAACCCTAGATCTGGAGCACTTCAAGCCTCTCTAGATCTCTTCCAATGGAGGAAAGAACGTCCTCTAACCGTGGCTCTGATACCACTAATGGAAATCTTGCAAATCTGGAGAGAACTATTTAGAGATTAAGGCTGACGACTTCAACGGAAAATTGCGTGCAGCTCAGGTAACTTCTATAAATGAGCTTATACGCGTTGGAAAGGTCTTAATCTCTAATTTCCAGAATGGTAAAGCACAATCATAACCAAGATCTGAGCCGCCGATTATGACGGAATCAGTGTGAGGGAATATTCTGGTAATTTGGCTAGGCAGCCATGAATCACCTAGTAAAAACGAGAAGGGAAGCAGTTAGATCTGGAAAAGTTCGAGTATGTGATTGTCAAAGACCACCAGCCCTCGCCCTAGACCAAACCTCAAGAATCCCAAGTGCCACAATTGCAACATCAAAGATGTTGTAGTGGGTTTGAGGTTGTATGGGTTGGAAAGGTAACGAGATCAAACCGTGCCAACCAACCCAAGTTCTTTTGCCCAAATCCTAATAGCCCACAACCAGCTAGAGCAAACTACACCACAGAACACTACACATTTATCAAGGCCCAGGGTCCCGAGGTCGCCTCAGCGTAAGTGCAAGGGGTCAGGATGTCAAAAACGTCTGGGTCACCCTCAGAGACTAGCAGCATGGAATAGAGAGATGGGACGGGGGCTGGGCCCCAGACGTCCAGGTGCAGGGTCTGGATTGGTGCGGTGGTAGGGCGAAGCGAGGAGTGAGGAGCATGGCACAGCCGGCCCTCGACGCAGGGCGTGCACGGCGGCACAGGCAAGAGAGGGAGGGCAGGAAGCAATGCAAGGAGACCTAGGATGAGACCGTGCTGAGACATGTGACGCAGACGCGGGAGTGAGGGGTGACCTAGGCAGTGGTGCCACAAAAGTGACAGGTGAGTGAGCGACCGACACGAGCAAGCTGCAGAAACCTGGGTAGACCCAAGACACGGGGAGGACGCGCCCAGCGGGGGGGAAGCAGTGTCCAGCGTAAACAGGCCAGACACCGGGTCCCGGGGGAACCTCGCAAGGGGGGCACCTGAGGCGGCCTCGGTACAGACAGCGTACCTCTCGTGACCAGGGAACATAGTGGTGACGCCGAGGTCCTGAAGACAATCGACCCCAATTAAGAACCTGGAAAACGAAGGAATGTGCAGGCCTGTAGGTGAACCCGCGTGAACCGCAGAACAAGGAAGGGTAGTGTTGCTACGGGCAGCGACAGGACCAGATGAGGGGTCAGCAAGTGCGACGGCGACGGGCGCGGCAAGTGGCGTGGGTGTGGCGTGGTCGCGAAAGAAGCAGGCAGACGCATCGTAGTCAAGTGTGAAGGACAGCGACGTGGCAGCCGAAGGAGGAGCGAGTGTAGAGCCTAGGCTAGACAAGGCAAACGGTCCTACGCCTGATGTAGCAGGGGAGTCTGTACTACACACAGGTACTACGCCTAAACTAGAGAACACAAGGTAATAAGGTCCGTACACACTAGAGGCATCAGCATACATAGAATGCAGGGCAGAACTAATCTGATCCATGTGTAATTCAAAGACAGGCACACCGTGGCGCAGCAGACTGGGCTAGTCAAGGAGGTCCGGGACTGGGCCGAAACGGCGACGAAAGAGGTCGTCGAGGCGGCGGAAGCAGCGGGCGGTCAGGTGTGGGCTGCGGCATACAGTGCCGCGGAGGGGGCCGGTCTGGAGCTGGTACAGGCAGCTCACAGCACCAAAGCTGTCGGTAGACGCCAAGCTGCGAGGACCGCCACCGCGGCCACCACCTCCAGAGGCTCCTGGCCACCCCGGCGGGAGGCGGGCCCACGGCTGCTGCTGCGGCTGCTGCTGCGACTGCTGCTGCGGCTGCTGCTGCTGCTGCAACGGCTGCTGCTGCGTCGGCTGCGGCTGCTGCTGCTCCTAGACACCAGCCCCAACCCCCTTGTCAGAACCACTGTCTTCGCCACCACCACCACCACGCCCTCCCTTGGGGCCACGACAGCCCCGACGCGGTCACAGCTGTGGGGACACCACACCTGCGGTCTCAGCGGTAGGGGCAGCCATAGCAACTGTGGCTCAAACGTCAGCGTACGTGCACTGGGAGGGAGCACAGCCCTGAAAGATAGGGACTGCTGCAACACCGCTTGACTGAGCGATAGTGCGCTGGCGAGTCTCGATCTCAGACAAGGAGGTGACAAAGGCAGTCAGGGTGAGGTCACCGGGGTGCTGGCTAAGGAAGTGGTCGCGGGCAGTGGCTAAGCGGTCCAGAAGGCGCTTGGCAATAAGGTATAGGGTAGCGTAGAACGGTGGGGGAAAGGCAGTGAGCTGGGCGTCAGTGCTAGCAGCGCGGTAGCTAGTCTCTAGTGCACGGAGGTGAGTGGCTGGGTCAGCGATAGTGGGGAAAGTGGTAAGATCTGGGAATAGCATGGGGAGGATCAGGCGGCCAGCATAGGTGGAGGCGGGTGTGGAGTGGCGCTCAAGTACCGCATCTAGGAAATCCTTGGCGTTCGCGACAGCAGTGAAGCGCAGACGCTCAGACAAAAGGAAGAGCATGACTAATGGCTAGCTGCGCTACGTCATCGTGGGAATCTCTGACAGAACAAGAAAGCACAGCAGCAGAAAAGGCCTCACGCTCAGCAGTGGTGGGGTCAGCAGGGAGGGGAGCAGGCGCGGGGGGCGGGGAAGCAAACCATCAACATGCCCAGCCAGGGAGTGCCCATCCTGGCGCTGACCTGGCAAGTGACGGCGGAGATTGACAAGCCAGGAGGCGAAGTCGATCGTGTGCCCCTCCGCGTCCAGGCAGAGTACGACGTCCGCCATCGTGCAACCTCAGCATTACAGCTCCACAGCAGCATAGCGACACAGCGGCACTGCAGCACTGCGGCACAGCGATGCAGTGGCACTGCGGCACAGCTACTCAGCGGCACGGCGGCACAGCGGTGTGGCGGCAGAACTCTCCGGGAGGAAGACCAAGCGGAAGGCCAAGCGGGGCGCACAGGGCCCAAGACGCGTAGTA